CTTCAATCCAAGTATACAATAATGTCCTAGGGATATTCTAGCTGAAAATAACCATAAACTTCCAGCAAACAAAATTTGGGCTAGAATTGTCAAATTTTGCAAACAATGGCCAATGGTAGGTACCATTTAATAATTGGTTAATCTTTGGAAACATTTTTTGAATGTCAAAATTCTTATAACTAATTTATGTATTTTGGCAAATTTATTGCTATAATTTTATAGATCTTTTATGGATTAACTTGTGTTCTTGGATCTTTTTAGAAATGTCCAGACCGCTTAACCCATAAATAAAAATTAAAACAAAACAATTCTACTAAAATTGTAATGCACAAAAAAAAATTAGGTATTGTGTATAATTAATTAGCTTTTGGCTTTTTTGTCCTTTCAAATCGTGTCTGCATGTTCAATAAACATTGATCATATCAATGACATATGTCATTGGATGTGCGACGACTTGGATTTTATTATTATTATTATCAACTTGATAACATTTCTGCTGTTAAATTATAGTTTACACGCCCTTATTGAATTTAAGTATCGAAACGATTATTTCAACAATAATTTTTCTTTTGTACGAGTATGGGAGTCGTATTAAAGGGGAGCCTCTGCAGGCAGCACGTAGGCACACATACGGCCCATTGTAAAAACCACCTTTTTGCGAAGGAGCCAGCATCTTAAAAAAAAAGCGCAGACCCTCTCTGGTCGGGCATGTATAATTTCCTCCGGTTTCTGTTCCTGAGGTGTATTAGTTTGCTATTGACTAGAGAGTGGCATTCGCAGACTATAAGCTCGGTAGTTTTATCTACTTCGCTGCAGTACCTACAATCCGTCTCGTTGCTGAGTCCGGTTTTGTGAAGGTCGTATCCCTGCTTAAAATACCCCATAGAGACCTATACCCTATATGAAATAATCTATCGGGCACTACCGGATTCAATATGTGCATTTGTCCATGTTTTTTCCGGATACGGCCCGATAGAAAATTAATAGGAAATTACCTATAGGCACACCACACCTTTTACATTTTTCCTATTGAGACCGATAGCAAATAACTCAATGAAGGATATATAGGGATATCCCTATAGAACAACCATAAAACATTTGACAACATTTTATTAAAACCTATGGGGTCCTATGGGGGAAAAACTAATTACTACATTTATGTGTATTTTCCTCATTGAAACCAATAGCAAATAAATCAAGGGTGGATATTTCTATAGAACAACCATAAATCCCAACTATGGGTCCTATACACACCGATACCCCCTATAGAAACACCTTACATTCCGATACAAATATCTATCGGTTTGAACAGGGTCTCTATGGGGTATTTTAAACAGGGATTTGACTACCCAGTGGCCTGTTGAGACTCCTGTGATGGATCTTAGCTGGTTCCTGTTTAGTTTCAGGAATGTCTTTACCTCTTTACAGTTTGTAGGACCCTTTATATAGACGTCGCGGCGAATGTTTGAAATTGCGTCATCAATGTTGAATGTCAAAAACCGATTTCTCGATTAAGTTTAAAAAACGTGTAAGGGTAGGTAAGGTAGTCAGTACCGTATCATTTTTAAGGGGCCCGCGCGTGTATTGTGGGTGGCCTGATTATCGAGCGACATTTCGAGTAAGTAAACTTTGCATTGTTTTTTTAAATGAAATGCCTGGCTTTTAGATTTTACCTGTATTAATGTTGTACAATTGTTAAGGAATAAATTCTCCTGAAAAAGCATCGTATGCAACTGTCCCGATCAATGTAAACCGTAACCACGTGGGGACAATTTATTAACAGAAACGATTTAGGTAGAAAAACATATTTATTTATAAAATGAAGGTGTTTATTTTCTCAAAATTCATCCTCGTCGAAACTGTCGTCTCCGAGGTAGATGATTAGTTCTGAAACTTCGTCCATTATTCTTTGTCGCTGTAACCATTTCTCAGTAAGGCTGTGTCCGGTTACAAATGTCCAGCACTTTGTTGTAGCTATAGCTCTTACATCTTGGAAACAATTTAATGGAAGCAGGGTCCTACATGCTCCAGTTCCCTTTGAAAAGTTTTCCCATCTAAGCGATTTCCGGGCATTCTGATCAGAATCGTACGGATTTTTGCTAAAATTAATTTCATTATAAAAATACCTTAATTCATTATAAAAATACCATATTTGTTGCAAAAAACCTTAACCTCTCCAACAAACTGCGCTCTGTCCTTGTTTAACACACTTTGCCTGAGCGTGACATCGGACTCAAGTTCGTCTTAGATCCGAGTGATTGTGCTCTAACCTAGCGGTTCCTTGCATTAAATACGTAAAAGAAAACAACAACAATTGTAATGTCTGTGCTTGGATCAGAATTTGATGACGCAATTTCAAACATTCGGCCTAAGGCCTTGTTGTCGCTATTTGTTCTGGAAATGGTTGTTAGTCCAGTTCCTGATCTTGGCTTTTACCAGACAGGAGGCGACCCCTACAGCAGGTTCTGGCTGTATTATTGGTTACTGCCCTAACGAGCCAGCTGGTCTGCTTCCTCGTTGCCTTTGATACTTCGTTGACCCGGTACCCAGACAAGTGTGAGCACACTGAGTAATTCTAGGGTTTTTATGCAGTCCAGTGTAAGCCTCGAGTACATATACATAGATATGTTAACCCGTGTAACCTCTCTAAAGATTCTCTTGGGCTATGATCACGATGGCATTGATTTCAGTCTGGTATTCCGTTGCTCCAGGTCGCTCCCCATATATACCAGCTCCCGCACCTTTATTCATTAAAAACCCGTCTATGTACCAGATGAGCTCCTTCGGTTTGAAAAAGCCTGGGCCAGGCTCGCTCCAGTCGTTTCTTTCTGTATATAAAGATCGATCAAACGAATAGCGGCAAAATACGGATAATATGCCCCAGCGCGACCGCTTGAGAATTAATGGATGTTACAAGTTGTATAATACAACTTGGAACATACATTAACCCTCAACTTGTATTTCAATATTTTCAGTGACGGATTCACGGAGATTTTGGAAGTTAAACCCCCCTAAATCAGGAAAATTATATATTTATATATATATATAGTGTGACCCATTTGTTGGCGACTCACCTCTGTTAAATCTTTATTTATTGTGAGATTTTAACCGGATTTGTTTTAAAGTGTAGATCTTGATAAACTGTATTTTTGAAGCAAAAAACGCTATATTTTTACAAAATATAAGGCCTACTATGTCAGTTTTTAAGAGTAAATTTTTAAGAATTTATATTAGCGATTTTTTAAACAAAATCTAAGCACGGCAATGGTTTCATTACCCTTCAAAACGACCCTATACTAAATTTTATTAAAAAAAACATGGTACTATTACTATAAGTTTTTATTTCAATGTTTTTTTCATGGATAACTTGACAACATAAATTTTTGTAGATATTATTGTGCATTTTTTCAATAAAATTTAGTAAAGGGTGGTTTAGAGGGGTGGTGAATCCAGTGCCGTGCTTAGATTTTGTTTAAAAAAATCACTAATATGAATTCTTTAAAATTTTCTCTTAACAACTGACATAGTAGGCCTTGTATTTTGTACTAATATGTACTAATACAGTTTCTTAATTTTAATACTAAGATACAAAAAAAAAGTTTATATACAAAAGTGCTCTTTTTAGTTCCACCCTTACTTCCTAAGAAGTCCCAGAAGCCAACTGAATGGCTTGTGCGGATTAGGGGTAGGAACGTACCGCGGGCTTAAAGTCCCCTCCGAAGGACTATTACACAATAGGACAAACACAAATAAACAGCCCTGGTGGGATTCGAACCCATGACCTCCGGCTTGTAGTCAGCAGCACTAACCACTAGTTCACCGTCGGCGATGCATCGCACTTTTCGATTTTCCATAAGATTAACATGCTCTCTAAAAATGAATTAGTCAAAAATGACTAATTGTCTTAGCGAAAAGCAGCCACTAACAATTAGTAATTTGTATCCCGAACATTTAGCAGTCAATTTCTATGTAAAATTTTCCCCTGAATCCGAAAATTTTAAAAGTTATAAATTTTCCATATAATACGGAATTGACTATATCTCTAAAACTACTCTACTTTCATAATTTTTGACGATATTTTTGGATTCAGGGGACAATTTTACACAAGAATTGACTGTTAAATGTTGGGGATACCATGGTATCCCTTTGTTAACTATGGTATTTATAAGTGGAAAAGCAGCCACTAATAACTGTTGTAACTAGTCATTTTTGACTTATTCATTCAGCCATCTAGTGTTAAAAACATTGTTTTACCAACTAAGTGTAAAAACAAATGTTTTTATCGGTAAAATATTTAAAAAAAAATTGCTCAACATATATTCAAAATCAATTAATAAAAAATGTTGGTGGCATATCGAGTAATCAAATTTCAGGCAGCAAAGTTAAATATGTTTTCGTAATAAAAATGAAATTGAAAAAAAAGTATTATGATATTATTTTGGTAGTGTTGTGTTTACATTTCTAAATGAACAAAAAATGGTTTACGACTCTTGTAATGTCAAATTCATGTTCCGCATGAAAGTTCGTTCTCAATTTTTTGATAAAATTGAGTAGTTCTTCTACAATACCGAAAAATCGGCAAAATTGATGGTAAATTGAACTTTGATCTTTAATGAGTGTTTAACCAATTGGTTTAGAAAGAAATCATAAGAAACCTTTTTTATACAGGGTTTAATTCTCTACAAAAATATCCGAACACGTTTTCTGTATGAACTTTGGTTGGATTTGTTACAAAAATCAGAAGGAAGAAGAAAAAAATGTCCATGTTATTCTTATGGAAAATCGAATAGTGCGATGCGGAGCATCTTAATATTTAAATTAAAAGTTATATATATTTTCACAGGCTTATTTTTATACCTTAACGAAAGTTTTAAGCCTGTTTGCAAGAAAAAAACAACTCGCTTTTTTTAATCACCCTAATACATATATATTATGCATTATTATCTTTAGAATATAAAGATTTTAATTTTTAATAAAAACTATTTTAGATTTTGTTTTACCTCAAATTTTGGAGAAAATCTTGAAGATCCTTTGACATGTTTCTTCCTAACAAAAAATAGCAAATCATCACAATCCATTGTAGATTCGTTTTGAAAAAGAAAATGCCGTACAAATAAATCGGTCCAATAGGTTGTACCCTGAAGCACTACGAAACCAGATTCTAAAATAAAACTGATGTATAAGTTTATGTTTTAAAACTAATTATAAAGTGTTTAGTTAATTATTTTTGAGAGAAAGTTTTTATTTGACTATTTCCCTCGTCTTAATTTCCACCAATCACAAACGCGCAATTTTGAATTACAAATGGTTTCTAGGTGAAAAAACTGTGTGACAGCACCTGTCAGCAGTTTATTCGAGTTTACCCGCGGCAAAACTTGACAGCTGTTGTCACCAAAAATTGCAATTTATATTTTAATTGTTAACTGTTACTCATGAAATAGTCTTGTCAAATACCATTCGGGCAACTAATTTTTCCTGTGAAAAAAATCGAAAAAACACAATGCTAAGTAATATTTTTTAACAAAATGCATTCGTGCAGGTGCAAAAATCCTCCTCTTCGACTCGGATTTTTGTTGCCACCAGCACTCATGCTTTTTGTTAAAATATTACTTAGCAACGTGTTTTTTCGATTCTTTTCGGAAAAATTAAATGCCCTTATGATATTACTTACGATAATATAGTTTATAATATAAAATGTAGTGATAACACAACTCATTTTATGATTTTTCTATGCATCATGCACCAAAATGAAATAAAAATCTCCACATCCCCATAACGTTTGCTTGTGTATTGGTGGTACTAATACAGATTTTTAATTTAAATAAAGTTTGTATATTTAACTTTTGACAATAAACCACTAGACGTTTTGTTTTATTCAAAAAGTGTCCACAACATTGTTAAAACACAATTTTAACATAATAATCTTAAATGGCGAACCGGCAGAATGTTCAATCACAGATTGAACAGATAAATCTTGAGTCGGCAGAATGTTCAATCATAGGTTAAAGCCCAAGTTTAACAATCACAGATTGAACAGATAAATCTTGAGCCGGCAGAATGTTCAATCATAGGTTAAAGCCCAAGTTTAACAGAGAAATAGTTAAACATAAATTTGTTAATATTGTTTAGATATTAATCTTACAAGTAGTTTCATAGCGTAAACTCGACCTTGTGCTATGAACTACTTAGTCAGCAAAAGTTCCAGTCAGTAGCGTACAGAATAAAATACAATTAAAAATACATGTTTTGTCTAGTACGCTACTGATATTTGTTTTAAATACAATTACGAATTGTTTTAAGTTGACAGTTCTAAAACATCAAATAATATGATATGTTTTGTAAATTGTTTAAATTTGCTGGACATAAAAACCCAACAAATTATTAATAAAGACATAGTTTAACACTGCTTACTGAGTAAGCCTTACTCTATCATTTCAATAGAATCTTAATTGATCTCTATTCATGTCGTGTTTCAACCTGAAAGATTCATCTTTCTACTTTAGCAAAACCTAGATGCTCAACGTAGAAGCCAGGGTTTAGGGATGACACGTTAAATGGTGTAGCGTGACAACCTTGGGCAGCTACACTCATTGCTAACATAATTGTTAGAAGTGTTGTTGCTACGTGTTGTTGCTGTGTTCCTTTGATGACTTTCTGTTTTCTTCGTTTGCAGGTAGTGGAATTAGTTGATGTATGTTCTTTTTGCTTGGTTGTCCGTGACTTTTTTTTATTGTCACTACTCGTACGTCTCCGTCTTTATCTGGGTGTGTTTTTGTTATCTTAGCTAATGGCCATTTGCACGGGTTTATGTCTTTTTCTTTTATTATGAAGATGTCTCCAATGTTGACATTTTCGTGGGTTCTTTTCCATTTGTACCTCTGCTATAGATTACTGAGGTACTCTTGCGTCCATGCACTCCAGAGATCTTTTTTCATTTTTTGTGTGGTTCTCCAGCGATTTGAGAGTGTTGTTCCTACATCGAGCATTTCTGGAGGTTCAGGCGCTAAAAGGTTTCGTCCAATCAGAAAATGTCCAGGGGTGATGACTTCGATATCATCTGTGTCGCTGGAAAGTGGGCACAGTGGCCTGGAATTGAGGCATGCCTCTATCTGGTACAGCAGTGTTGTTAACTCCTCAAAGGTTAGTGTGGAGTTTCCCAACACCCTTCTTAAATGAAACTTCATTGATTTTACTCCTGCTTCCCATAATCCACCCATATGCGGAGTGGCTGGCGGTATGAATTTCCACTGGGTTTCTAACGTGGCGAGTTTGTCTGTTAGTTTGTCGTTGGTTACTGATTTTGTGATTTCATCTTTTAAGACATTGCTTGCTCCGACGAAATTTGTTCCGTTATCGCTATACATGACACTTGACCTCGCCTGGATGTGAATCGACGAAATGCTGCTAAAAAGGCTTCCGTTGTCATATCGCTTACGGCTTCTAAGTGGATTCCCTTTGTTGCGAAGCATACAAATAGTGCTACGTATCCTTTGTATGACTTATGGCCTCGTCCTTTTGTCATCCGTATGGAAAGTGGTCCAGCGTAGTCGACTCCTGTATGACAGAATGGTTGGGATGGCGTTACTCTTGGACCTGGTAGATTTCCCATTATTTGTTGTGCCGTTTGAGCCTTGTATCGGATGCATTTAGCACACTTGTGAATTAGGTTTCGCACATTTTTTCTTCCATTTGGAATCCAGTATTTTTGTCTGATGTGTGCGAGGGTTAGTTGATTTCCTCCGTGTAAGGTTTGTTCGTGTGCCTGATTGATGATCAATTTTGTTACGTGATCGTTGTTTGGTAAGATTGCAGGATGCTTTTGTTCGAATCATAGGTTAAAGCCCAAGTTTAACAGAGAAATAGTTAAACATAAATTTGTAATTATTGTTTAGATATTAATCTTACAAGTAGTTTCATAGCGTAAACTCGACCTTGTGCTATGAACTACTTAGTCAGCAAAAGTTCCAGTCAGTAGCGTACAGAATAAAATACAATTAAAAACACATGTTTTGTCTAGTACGCTACTGATATTTGTTTTAAATACAATTACGAATTGTTTTAAGTTGACAGTTCTAAAACATCAAATAATATATGTTTTGTAAATTGTTTAAATTTGCTGGACATAAAAACCCAACAAATTATTAATAAAGACATAGTTTAACACTGCTTACTCTATCATTTCAATAGAATCTTAATTGATCTTTATTCAACATTATTAATTAAACAATTATTTTGTATACCTTTATTTATTTATAGCAGTAATTTTAAAGGATATTTAATTTAATTTTGTTTTTGTTTTTATCCTTTATCCAAAACGTTAAATGGCCATTGGTTGGACATTGGAGTACTAAGAGGAATAAAGTTATAAACTTAAACGCCATTATCAAGACCTACTCAATTTTATTAATCTTAACGTTAAGCCGTGCCGCACAGAGCTTTTTTGTTTCAACTAGTTAATCTGTCGAAAAATCGGAAAACATTCCGAACTGGCTGGATTTTTCATATGTTATTTCTGGCGGTTAAAAGGGTAAATTATAAAAATTTTGTGTTCCCCCTGCGACCGTTTCCCCCCTTTTTCATAAAATGTATCTCGTTTTCTATTGGTCGGACAAAAAAGTGTAAAACAAAAAAATGTAAAGCTTTAAATTTTTAAAATACTTCTTTAAAAGCAAAACGTTCTGTATTTACTTTCTAAAAAAAGAAGCGCCAAAAAGTTTTATATTGTTTTATCTCGTTTCCTATTGGTCGGACAAAAAATGTGTAGCTTTAAAATAAAATATTATTTTGTTAACCCTGTTTGAGTTACAGCAGCTGTAACTCGGTTTTTATAGATATTTTTGAGATCTTCAACTTTTATTTCTAGTTTTAGTCAATTTTAGGGTGTCAAAAAATAAAAATAAATAATTTTTGGTAATTTTGGCTCCCTCAATCTCTTTATGAGCTAGGAATTGCAACTGCCTGAAAATAAATATGTTGAAATTTTAAAGCTACACCTTTTTTGACTTTTTCCCTTTAGAATTCAGAATCCAGTTCAAAATTTTTACGATGTACTTGATTTTGTACTTGATTGTTTTGATGTACCTGAATTTGTGAGAGATTGACTGTAATTAAAACTCTGCTTAACTTTAACATATAATTTCAAGGCGCCTAATTTATTTTAAGTTATTTAATCTTTTTATGAGGCGGTACGACCAAATTTTGTCTGACCCAAAATAACCGCCACTCTAACACTATAATGGGAGACTTTATTTGTGATTTAACAAGAGAAAACATAACAGAAAGAGTAAAATGGTTTACTTTACTTTGTATTCTTATATAATAGTTGAAGTTAAGTAAAAACAAAATTCAAGTTTATTTGTATAGCTTTTTCAACATATGAAAATTAAAAAATGTTGACTTGTGTAATTTTCATATTTTTAAATTCAATAGGGTTTGTATTAAAATTTGGACATTAAAATCAAATAATATATAAACCTATGAAAGCTTTTTAATAATTATTAACGTATTTTTCTTTGGCATTATTTTAGTATAGTAGGTATTTAAATAATAAAAATAATAATAATAATAATGATATTATAATTCATAAGTTATGAATTATAAATAAACGACATTACTAGGGCATTACTACTGGCATTTTTTTAACAGTTTAGAAAACTTTAACATAAATAATTTAATCCACTGCAATAATTAAAAAAAAATATTTTGCGGTATTGGATTGAACTAACGAAAATATTACCAAAAACTTTGACAAAATATTCAAACTTGTGCCATTTCTTTGTACATTTAAAATAAATAGGTTTAATCAAATAAATTAATTTTAGTTAAATATAAAAAAAATATATATCAATACCTCTACAAAATAATAAATAATAATAAATATTAAATATAAAACTGTATATTTTGCCCTCCGTTAATTTTATTGTTTAGCTTTATAAATATATTTACCATCTTTAAGTAATTGTCTCATTTCCTTTGTTCTTTGAAAATTTATTTCCTCCAATAATTGTTCCAGCACTGAAGGTGTTTTCAACACAGAAGAGGAATGTGCAAAAGCCATCGCAATTATTAAAAAAATACGTTAACGTAATTACTTTGTCACAACATTTTTTTAAATTGTTGCCCTATTGTGGAAAACACCCAAAAAAAGTAATTGTATGCGTTAAATGCACAGCATGCGACTGAAAATGTGAAATATTTAGGGGCATCGTGCGATCAATAACATCGGTGCGCGTGTGACTAGTCGCGACTCTCCTGCCACATTATTGTCTAATCTTTTAATTTTGTTCTTGCTTTGGTTTAAAGCTTTTTCTGAAATATTTTACGCAAATAAATAAAGGTAAATAAATTTTAGAATATAAATACAATTTCTATGAATTCCTTAGGGTTTAATTAATTTACTTTTTTTTACTTACTTTTGTTAGTTAATATGTCTTCAATTTGTAAAAAAATATTTTGTTTAATAGTTGGATTATATAATACTTGTGTTGTCATGCCACTAATATATATGCGGCTTTTAACACTTTATTTATTTTTATTCCTGTAAGAATTGTTACTGGGAAAGGAGATTTGTAATTATAATAAAATTGATTTGTTTGAGGGTGGTTTTTTTACAGTAAAGCTGGTGTAGTTTCTTTTAATAAGAAAAAATATTGTAAGGATATCAATAAAGTTGGTTTAATTAAATAGTTTTTTTGAATGTATTTGGTTAATACTATCAAATTATTTTCTTCGCATTTTTAGATAGTAATAATAAATAAATACTTACAACAGTTTAAATTTACTTGGATTATTATAAAAAATTTCAGTGTTATAATAAATTTGTTTATTATTTAGCAACCCATTTTATTTGTTTACTGTAACAAGCTATAAATTAACGAAAACTAAATATGTGTTATTCTTAATTATCTACGGTTACAATATTATATTGTCAATATAAATTCATTTGGTAACTATAACCAAATGCATAATTCCAGGAATCAAAACTTAGCTACACCGAAACTGAATTCAATAATAATAACATCCCTGCTGAAAATGACGGATGATTGCGGATAAAAATTCTTCGTCAAAACCGGATCAAAGCAGATGATTGCGGGTATAAATTCCTCGTCGAAGCCGGATAAAAGCAGATAAAAGCGGGTAAAAATATCATCTGATAACATACCAGTTTACAATAAAATTAACGAAAAACTTCATGAAAAGAAAAAAGTGCTCGCAATTTTCTTAGATTTGGCTAAAGCTTTTGATAGTTTGTCACATAATGTTCTACTGGGGCGACTATCTGACTACGGAATTAGAGGAACTGTTTTAAATTTATTTAAAAACTATCTTTTAGACAGAAAATCTATTGTTAAAATTGATGGCACATTAAGTGATCCAAAAAATATATTGTTCGGGGTTCCTCAGGGAACGGTCCTTGGACCGCAGTTGTTTTTGATATATATTAATGAGATGCTCAATATAGCAAATCAGGGAGATATATTTTCATACGCCGATGATACAGCACTTGTATTTTACTCAGATAACTGGAAAGAAGTAGTCGAGTCGGCTGAAAGAGGATTGTATAAGATTAAATGTTGGTTGGATAGTAACTTTCTAAACCTAAATTATGAAAAAACCAAGTTTTTAACATTTACTAATGTTTCTACTAATCAACCAGACATACATAAAATTAAATTACACTCAAAATGCGATATTAATAATTGTACATGCTTAAGATACATTGAAAGGGTTTCAAACATACAATATTTGGGCCTAATGATAAGTGATACCTTAAGGTGGGAAGTTCATGCAGACTATCTAACAAAAAAAATAAGAAAACTCGTTTTTACATTTTACAAATTGCGAGAATTCATGTCTGTTGGACTGTTAAAGGTTGTATACAAAGCGTTGGTTGAGTCTGTTCTATCGTATGGCATTATCGTATGGGGATCAACTTATGAATCCCATTTAAAACTACTTAAAACTACTCAAAACTGGATTCTAAAAGTTATATTATCTAAAAATAAACGATTTTCCACTGAACATCTTTATCAAGAAAGTAATATCCTAAATTTATTTAACCTTTATATTTTTAACGCTGCAAAATTTTTTTACAAAAATAGAAAATTGAGACATGTTTTATCACATGATAGGGTGACACGACAAAAAATCCAACAACAATTAACTGTCCCCTTTGCTACTACCACACTATACATGAAGTCCCTTAATGTAACTGGTCCAAAAATTTTTAACTCTATTCCTCAGGATATAAGAAACATAAACAACTACTCTCTATTTTCAAAAAAACTTTTTTTATACATAGTTCAAAACGCAACAAAATTTAAAATTATTTTTTAAGTAATCCTCCTGAAAACACAATCGAAATGTATTTGATAGTTAACAGAAAAAGAAAAGAGAAAACTCTTACTTTTGTTCTTAGTGTTAGTTTAGTTAGTTCTTAGAATATTTTTATTTTATTTTTATTTATGTGTACAATTAAAACATTACATTTTCAAAATTAAGGCACAGTACAATTTCCTTTGGAAATTAGGTGCAATTAAATACATTATTAAAAAAAACATGTATGAAACAAAATTGTAAATTTTTGGTACAATAAATTTATTATTATTATTATTATTATATTAATATTATTATATTATATTATTATCTGCTTTTGTCCGCATCGCTATATCCGCGAACACCCGGTTGGTTGTGTTTTATGTCCGGTTAGTGCACCCCCGCAATCATCTGCAATCATCTGTTTTTAATCGTCTTCACTGTGTTTCGTTTATATCTGAATTAATCCGGAATCATCTGCTTACGTCTGGTTTTATCTGCGATTACCTGCATTTTTTTGTTTATTTTTGTCTGGTTTTATCAGCGAGCATATGCTTTTATCTGCCAACATCTACTTTCATCCGCAAACATCTGCAATCACCCGCAAAGAACTGCTTTTATCCGCGAACATCTGCAATCACCCGCGAGCATCTGCTTTTATCCGCAAACATCTGCAGTCATCCGCGAACATCTGCTTTCATCCGCGAACATCTGATTTTATCCGCCAACATCTGCTTTTATCCGCGAACATCTGATTTCATCCACGAACATCTGCAGTCACCCGCGAAGAACTGCTTTTATCGGCGAACATCTGCAATCACCCGCGAACATCTGCAATCACCCGCAAACATCTGCTTTCATCCGCAAACGTCTGGTTTTATCCGCAAACATCTGCTTTCATACGCTGTTACCCGCAAACATGCTTTTATCTGCGAACGCCTGATTTCATCCGGCTAGTGCACCTCCGCAAACATCTGCTTTTATCCGCAAACATCTGCTTTTATCCGCCAACATCTCATTTTTTCCGCGAACAGCTGCTTTTATCCGCGAACATCTGCTTTCATCCGCGAACATCTCATTTTATCCGCGAACATCTGCTTTCATCGGCGAACATCTGCTTTTATCCGCAAACATCTCATTTTATCCGCGAACATCTGCTTTTATCCGCAAAATCTGCTTTCATCCGCAAACATTTGCTTTTATCCGCAAACATCTCATTTTATCCGCGAACATCTGCTTTCATACGGTTTCATCCGCAAACATGCTTTTATCCGCAAACATCTGATTTTATACGCAAGCATCTGCTTTTATCCGCAAACATCTGCTTTTATCCGCAAACATCTGATTTTATCCGCAAACATCTGATTTTAATCTAAAACATCTGATTTTATCCGCAAACATCTGCATTTTTCCGCAAATATCTGCTTTTATCCGCGAACATCTGCAAACATCTGATTTTAATTGCAAACCTCTGCTTTCATCCGCGTTCGGTGTGCCTGCATTTTCTTTGTCCATTTCGGTCCTGTTTCGTACGCAAACGTCTGGTTTCATTCGTGCTTTTTGTTTTCCTTTTTCTCGTGTATACTTTAGTTTGGAGTATATTCGTCATATAAAGGTTATATATACTTTTAATGTATATTATATCAATAAAGTTTGTGGATTGGGAAGATGAGAGAGAGGTATGACATGGGCTTGGGGTTGTAAGATTTGTTATGTTGTTGTCACTCGTGTTCCTTACGCGGATGACAGCATCGTGGCAATTCTTACTTTAGGGGTCTCCCCCTCTCCCTCTTCTTTTTTATACTTTAGTTTAGTTTACCTGCTTTGTCAAATTTTACTGAGCTTTTACTAACTGGTTGTTAGCCGTTCACGGCACACAACTTTATAACTCTAAAAGGAATTATTTGAATAAAAACAACCTGTAAAGGAAATAAGTTTTTTCAACACGACATTTTCCCAATGGGAAAATAATTTAATTATATTCAACAGATTTAAATTTAAAAATCAGGTATACTATAGGGAAGAGTACCACAGAAATAATAAGTCTATTCATTCTTACATATATATTAAAAATATTGGTTATGCCAAAATTAAAAAGTTTATAAAGTAAGATGAAAAATTCTACGCCGAAATAAGTGGTTTTCAAACAAATTCCATACAAATTGAAGATGTTATATTTCCAAATGTATTTAAAACTAAACATGTTTTCTAACAATTAATTTAAATGTAAGCTTAGTGATTAAATAAGTATTTTACCAAATAATATTGAAGATCAATAAACTTATTTTTTCCTTTACAGGTTGTTTTTATTCAAATAATTCCTTTCAGAGTTATAAAGTTGTGTGCCGTGAACGGCTAACAACCAGTTAGTTAAAGCTCAGTAAAATTTGACAAAGCAGGTAACCTAAACTAAAGTATACACGAGAAAAACGAAAACAAAAAGCGCGAATGAAACCAGACGTTTGCGTACGAAACAGGACCGAAATGGACAAAGGAAATGCAGGCAAACCGAACGCGGATGAAAGCAGAGGTTTGCAATTAAAAGCAGATGTTTGCAGATGTTCGCGGATAAAAGCAGATATTTGCGGATAAATGCAGATGTTTGCGGATAAAATCAGATGTTTGCGATTTAAATCAGATGTTTGCGGATAAAATCAGATGTTTGCGGATAAAAGCAGATGTTTGCGGATAAAAGCATATGTTTGCGGATAAAATCAGATGTTTGCGGATAAAAGCAGATGTTTGCAGGTGAAATCGGATGAATCAGACTTTTGCGGATACTTGAAAGAAATAAACGTTCCACAAATTTTATAATTTATGGATCTAAAGAGAACATAACAAACTCTAAAGAAACACAAACTTCAGATGATAAAATTCTTGCTAATTCACTACTCGA